ATAGCATCTCCTACTCCTGGACGACTGCGCAGTTCCAGAAGGGTATTTCTTAAATACTTATGATTGCTTAGTGTTTTGCAGGAACAGAGAAATGCATAACCTGCTGAAATTAGCAAAGTAGTCACCAACACTCACTATAAAGCAAATCCCATTCAGCACAAGAAGTCAATGATATGTTACTTTTGTTTACTTACTATTCGGCTGCGAGTAGCATTGTCAAAAAAGGTGTCTTTGTCTTTAATGTTATACCTAAAATGTTGAGAGAAAAAAAAACACAGTTATATTTTCAGACATGGTAGCAATAAGTAAGATAGCATATAAGATTCTGATTAAGGATTCATTTAGAAACCATAGCAAGTAAGAAAAACAGATGTCTAAAGAAAATATAGATGAAATAGTACAGCATAATAGACCGTGCTATCTAAGAGCTAGTCATTCAGAGTTCTACCTGGATTGCAGTGATGGTAGGCATAAAAATGCAAAAATATTAACTAACGTAAAATGCCTTTCGAGTAAGGAGAGCTTGTCTATTGTGTACACAAGATGACCTTCTAATCTTTTCCTTATAACACACCCTCAACACTGTAACATTCTGAGGTTATGTTGTTAGGTTTCAGCTAGCCTAATGCAGATGTTCATTATTCATTTCCAGGCAACTAACCAGCCAACATTTCACTTGCTTTCAAATAATCATTCCACTGGAATTATGCGTTTCCTTAAACCTCAAAATCATCATTTGTGAAATTACCTTCCCAGTTTATTTCCCTCAATCAATTTGACTTGTGTTCAGTATTAATTAAAATTGCCAGGGAGGACAATAAATGATATGGTGGGTCATTATATTTATTACTGAATTTTATTTATCAGACATAAATACGAGGAGATACCCATGAGGAAAAAAGGAGTGTTTAATGTCAAACTGGGCCCAGAAGTATTATTCTGAGTGAAAGGGCAGGTGTCAAGAATTTCTTATCTGTATATTATTAGCCAAGTTTTAATTACTATAATAAATCTATCGAGGAGAAATATTATCAGATTTCTACTAGGTCTTTCATTTTTCAAAACAGGCAGTAATATCCTTAACCAAATAACCTGGAATTTGGTGGTAGGATTTTTACAGTTGAAACTAAAAACATAGAGACTTTATATGTTGCACTGCTTCCAGTGCCTTACCCATCAGAAGGAAGTAGAAGACCGGTAAAAAGTCTCTGCAATTTAGATTTCTGTTAATCCACTGAAACTGAATTCAGTGCCAATGCATGTTCCTTTACTTTAGATCTATTTACTTGGCCTTCAATAAATTTAGTTTTATATAGACATAGGCTTTTATAACTTGGAAACATTATCCAGGAAGAATCTGACAACTTGGATATTTCCTCAGGATTTCCAGAAATACTCAATGAATTTCTGAATTTTGATTGAAATACTGGTAAAAAAAAATGACAACACTAAAACGATAAGTTATAGCTTTCTTCATTGCTCATCACAATTTAAAGTACTCACAAATATATTTTCTCTCTGGAAAATGGGTAAGACAGACTTTTCATGTTGGTATTATCTTGTTGTGGCACCTGGGGTTGCAGAGGTTCAGTCAATTTGCACCATATTTCATTTAACTTTTTGAGTATTCCTTCTTCTTCTGTGATTTCATACATCTGAGTAAAGAAAATACTGTACATTAACATGTCACTTCCAAAAATCCACAAAAATGAAAAAAAAAAGATGGAATTTGCTATACACATATGTTTAAATCTGTAATTAAAATAAGCAGCTTCTCTGAAGATATGTTCCCATATAACAACGAGCACCTGAATCTGTAAGGATTTGGATTCCAAAAAGTTCTTGTCCTTCAGAAGCTACTTCCAGAAGAAAACTCAGTGCAGAACTGTTAATACAAGAAACACCCTTACTAACCAAACTAGGAGCTGCAGGGAGATGACTGAAAGACAGAGTAATTATTTTGACTTTGTAACTGGGAATAGAGAGAACAGACAAGCCAGGAAGGGCCTTTACATGCTGCCAATTATACTGTCCCAGCAGAATAAATTATTCCTGGGTAATAATTGTGTCTGACAGCACATAAACACTCGCCATTAGAAGCGGGGATGCTAGGCTCATGGCTATGTGGCGGTTTTAAGTGCAAGGATCTAGCTTTTGCTGAGTCAGATTGATGTGAAGTGCTAGGGACCTTCTCAGAGATATGAAGGTATTTTTTCCCGAAACACAGACAACCTTACCAAACATGAGTTTACGTCCTCCTCACAGGACATACCTTCCAGCCCTGTCACCAGCTTTGTTGCCCTCCTCTGGACGCATTCAAGGACCTTCACATCACTAAATTGTGGGGCCAGAACTGCACACAGTATTCGAGGTGAGGTCGCATCAAGGCTGACTACAGCAGGATAATCCCCTCCTTTAACCAGCTGGTGATGCGGGGTTTGATGAACCCCAGGACAGGGTTTGCCCTCTGGTTGCTCTCCAGCCACTCCTCTCTCAATTTATGCTTGTGCCCAGCGTTACTCCATCTCAGGTGCTGAATCTGGCATTTCAACTTGTTAAATTTCATCCCATTAATCATAGCCCAATACTCCAATCTATCCAGATCCCTCTGCAAGGCCTCCTGTCCCATAAGAGAGTCAACAGCACTTCCCAGTTTAGTATCATCAGCAAACTCGCTGACGGTGAATTCAACTCCTGCATCCAGATTGTTGATAAATGTACTGAACAGAACTGGCCATAGAATTGAGCCCTGAGGAAAACCACTAGTGACCAGTCGTTGGCCAAACGCAGCCTCGTTTACTTCAACCCTCTGAGCCCTGCCATTCAACCATTGCTTCACCCAGTGCGCTGTGTACCTACTGATCTCACAGTTGGACAAATTGTTCAGAAGGATGCTGGGAGGCACACTATCAAAAGCTTTACTAAAATCTAGAAGAACTTACATCTACCACCTTCCCATCATCCACTAGGCAGGAAATCTTATCATAGAAGGATATAAAATTAGTTAGACAGGACTTTCCATTTATGAAACCATATTGACTGGGCCTGATGATTGCATTGTCCTTTAAATGCCTTTCAATGGCACCCAGTATGATTTTCTCCATAATTACTCCAGGTACTGAGGTTAGACTGACAAGTCTGTGGTTTCCTGGGTCTTCCCTCTCACCTTTCTCATAAATTGTAGTAACACTGGCTAGCTTCCAGTCAGTGAGGACCTCCTCAGACTCCCAAAACCTTTGGTAGATGATTGAAAGGTGTCCTGTTATAACATCTGCTAACTCCTTCAGTACTCTGAGATGAATCCCATAAGGTCCCACGGGCTTATGAACATTCAGCTGATACAGATAGTCCCTTACAAATCCAGTGTCCGTAAATACAAAGTCACTGTTCCTGTAGTTATGGTCTTCTTACTCAGAGGACCAGGCAGCCCAAGGTCTACCATTAATATTAAAGATTGAAGAAAAAAAGTATTGAAGACCTGCACTTTTTCTTCATCATTTGTCAGGTGACCATCTTCAACAAGTATTGGTCCAATATTTTTCTTAGATCTCCTCTTGCTATTAACATACTTTAAAAAGCCCTTTTGTTGTCAGACACTACATTGGGCAGTTTCAGCTCCAGCTTTTGTGTTTTCTCCCTGAATACACGAACCACAGCTCTGTAATCTTCCTGCAAAGCCTGACCTTGCTTCCAGAGATGGTACAATTTCTTTTTCGTCTTGAGCTCTCCAAGGAGTTCCCTGTTCAGCCAAGCTGGTTTTCCACCCTGCTTGCTTGACTTACAACACTCTGGAATTGCTTCCCCTTGTGCTTTTTAAAGGTGGTTCTTAAAAACTGATCAGCACTCAGGGACCCCAAGCTCTCAAAAGCAGATTCCCAGGGGACACTGCTAACTAGCTTCCTGAGTAGCTTAAAATTTGCTCTCTTGAAATCTAGAGTAACAACTCTGCTGACTTTTTTTCTCATTACACTGAAAATTTTAAACTCAACCATTTTGTGATTACTGTAGCCAAGACAGCCATGTACCATCACATCTCCCACAAGTTATTCTCTATTCACAAATAGCAATTCTAGGAGCTCATCTTTCCTAGTTGGGTCACTGAATACTTGTGACAGGATATCATCTTCAACATCCTTCAGGAATTTCTTAGACTTGCTTGTCACAGCAGTATGGTACTCCCAGCTAATGTCTGGGAAGTTAGAATCACCCATAAGGACAAGGGCTAACCAATCCAGAAATTTCTCCTAAGTGCCTGTAGAATAATTCATCTATCCTATCATCTTGGCAAGGCAATCAATAGCAGACACTCACAATGACATCTGCTTTGTTTTCCAACCCCCTAATCCTCACCCAGAGGCTCTCAGCCATATCATCCCTAACTGCAAGGGTTGTACGGTCAAACTTCTCCCTTACACCCAGTACAACTCCTCCACCTCACCTGCCCTGTCTATTGCTCCTGAACAGCCTAGAACCCTCCATCCCCGCACCCCAGCTGTGGGACTCATTCCCCCAAGTCTCACTAATACCAGACACACCATAGCTCTGGGAATGGACCCACGCTTCCAGTTGGTCCTGTCTGTTTCTCATACTGTTTGTTTCTCATACTCATATTTGAGTGTGGCCCAGTCTCACTCATCAAAAAGAACTGTATTGTCATATCCAGAAGTATACCTATCGTTCAAATTGCTCAAAAAGTACCTTTCCCTAGCATGTCATTTGTCCTGAAAGATGATTTAAGACTGAACATTTGAAAAAAAAAAAATAAATTGCCACCAATTCATCATATTTAGAGGTGGATAAATACTTTCCACTGAAAATGCTTTGCTTATAGTATCATTGGATGTTTGAACAAATAAAAATAGCATCACAGAAAATACCTAATGTGCCTTAAAAACAACATTTTGTCTCTGAACAAAAACAGAATTTTCTTTTTAGTGGTTACTGGCTGAATTTTTCAGTTTATACTGCCAAATCCTCAAAAATACAAGATTTCAGTTTTTCAAGGCGGATTTCTGTTTTCTTCACAGGAAATTCCTCTTCCCACTGTCTTTAATTGCAAAAAATGTAAGACATGAACAGACTTTTCCTATCATGTTTGCTTCCTGGTAGTGCACTGGTAGTGCTTCATTTCTGCAGTTGAGATAACAGAAAAATAATGTAGTCAAGAAGAGTTGTCAGCAATCTTCTCCTTAAAAATGTCATATCACTTTTAAGTTATACAAAACAACTTACCATCCTAGGGTGAATTTTCAGGAAAATTGAGATCTGATTTCCTTGTTGGTAAACATATTTCATTTCATCTTTTTCTACACACCAAAATAAATTCAAAGTACAAACCTGAATACTGTTTTTATAACTGCCTAATCAATGACTGCATGTTCATTTCCTCTTTGAATATTTGTCGTACTATTGAATAAATGTCATTGATATGGCAATCTCATTCAACATGAAGTGTACATAGATCTGATTGGTTTGTTGAAATCTGTTGCTTTAAAGGAAAAGATGCTACAAATAATGTCTAATATATAGCAGTTAAATAAAGTAATTTGTCAATATTTTAATCGTCTTCATCCCAGATAATTCTGTGTCTTTAGGATCTTATGATATACTGTGTATTTTTTCTCCCATTCAGAGTAGAGAAGGAGATGGGAACTTCTCGTGAATGACTAGGGTGGCCATTGAAGACTATCAGCTCCTGAACAGACCTTAACTCAGAACAATATGATGGCAATAGTCAACAATTAAAATAGCATAAAATTTGCTTCAGTGTATCTGCAAAAAGCTAGGAAGGGAAAATTCCCATGAGGAAAGAAGGAGGGAGAAACGAGCAGGCACTTAAAATGCATGAAAGGAACAAAGCTGGGAAGGGATCAAAGAGAGGAGATGAATATGTAGGTCCGTTTCTAGAAAGGGTCTACACATCCATCAATACCCCAGAAAGGACAGAGGTACTGTAGCTGTCCAAAACCTACTCATTTTCAAAAATTAATTAGAAGTAGCCAGATTTTATTATTTTTTTTTCCTGGGATGCAAACACAATACAATAAGAGAATGCAAGATTGGCTTGGCCAAGCTTCTGACAGTAACAGATTGTAACACCATGAGATGTGAGCAACACTGAAGTTTTTGCTGGGTGAAAACAATCAATACAATAAACAAACAAACAAACACACAACGCTGTAGAAGAAAATAAAATAATGACAATGCAATGCAGTAAGTGTTCGGTGGTGCAACTGAGGAGTACCACCAACTGAAAGGACAAGGCAGTTCCACTGACTTCAGTGGAGTTGTTAGCCAACATTCTAAATCACTGCAGGACCACAAATTTTGGGATCTGCTACTCAGAATTTACAATGTTTGCCAGCAACTCTGCTGAAAGCAGGACTGTAAAGACTGTAAAGAAGATAGTGAACCAAAGTTTTAACGAAAATAGGCAAGTCTGAATGCACCAAGACATTGATACCACCAAGACAGACTCTCTTGGCATCCCCAGATTTTAGAGGAATCTTAAGGCAATGATCAGCTATCATACTACCCACCTTATTGCACCACACCTTTGAGGAAAGTTCCTTGACAAAAATCCAAATAGCTACTGCCTTCTCAGCTTTCAAAACCCTCCTTAAAACTCACCTCTGTCATCACTCTTCTGAATGCAGACTGTCAGTCAGCTGCCCCTGTGGCCTTTGAAAACCCCATCTTAAATATGACTCCGAATACTAAATAATCTCAAAATAATTAGTTATGTGAAAGAATAAGCCTGACAGTTCATTTGCTCTGATTTTGAAATACAGTAACTCCATGGGCTTCTATACACTTAACTACCGTTCTGATCTTCCCTCCTCCAGTCATATAACTAGCTGATAGAAAATGGAAGATACTTACCTTTTTAGTGGGCATTTTTATTTTAAGGAGTTCCGCTTCTCGACTAAGTACTTGCCAAGGTGCATGTATACGGACAAAACTCAGTCCTTGGCTCTTATTCTGAAACATAAAATAGTGAAAACTATGAATTTCAATATTATTGAACAGAATACAGTAATAAGGTTTCAAGATGACAGCTCCAACTAAATCATGCAACAGCAGGCATTCACAGTGAATAACCAACTTCTGTTACAACTGTGCTTAAAAGTGACCTTTTCTTTAAAAGCTGAATCTTCTAATGCTCTAAAATCCATTAATCTACTGCCTACAGTGTAGTTGTGTGTGCACCATGAAGACAGAAGGCTACGGTTCCAGATTTTGGAGTCGTGTGAACCAGAAACTCCCAAGCTACAGTTTCCAGACTCAGATATTTTGTAAGTCATCTGCCTTCATTACTGGGCTTTTGTGCCCATCTGAACCAACAAAGAAAAAACATTTCTTCTGTTCTGGGTGGACTTTGCTTTAGGTTCCCATTTTCAGTTTTGGCCAACTGTTTCTTAGACAATTCATCAGATTAGTTGTTCCTTACAGGGGATCAGGCTCAACATTTACTGCCCTAAATATCTGCAGCTGGAGTAGCAACCCTAAACAAAACATTCAAATTTAACCCCTGGAGAGAGACATGGGCCTAATATTTATGTAGATAACCAGTTATGCTGTTCAGAGGGAGAAGAGTACACAAGAGCTTGCTGTGATCTGGGCTGTTGAGAGGGTGCTCTCCTGGTAGAACATCTGAGCTACCCAAAGGCACTCTGCGATCAGAAAGCAGCACTCCTGGGAAAAGCATGAAAATTAAATGTAGACATGGTGATACAGAGCTTTCCTCAATGCACACAAATAAATTATATCAGTAAATTATACCGATGAATGCCTATTGTGGAAATGAAGGGAATAAAAATTGGGAGGGAGATTAGAAAGAGGATATGAGGATGTATTTTGGGAAGGACGTGGAAGTGGACAGGAGGAGACTTTAAAGGTTTGATTTGTGCTAAGACTAAAGATCTTTGTGTAGCTGTGTGCATGCTGGGGCTTTGGTACTAGGGCATACCATCACTTTGCAGTTTCCCACCCATATGTGTGTAAGGATCAGGACAGTCCCTTCCCTTCAGGGGAGCATGAGCCTTTATTTGCACTCCCTCATATATCCTGAAATTTAGAAGTGAGACAAGAAAACTGAAGCAGGGTGTGCAACTTGAGGAGAAACATAGCTGGGTTACATGTTGGGCTTAAACGCAAAACTCGGGTGCCCCACCTGTGAGAAGCTGCATGTTATATGTACAAACAGTTGCATATGTCTAGAGAAAGAACGTTAAAAGACATAGGTTAATGTCTTTGTAATCAACAAGTAGCATAAGTCTACAAAGCTGGGAACATAGGTCATATCCATGGAAGTTTAACGTCTTCTGTTGGAAAGTGACTCCAAGAAAGTTCTCTTTCTCAAAAGCTTTGAGTTAAGAAAAGTTTTAAACGGAAGTATGAGTCACAGTCTAAACGTATCTCTAGATCTAAAAGACTATTGTAGCACATTTACCTCAGAAAAGCCATCCCTCTCAGCCACAGTGATTTTTTTTTTTGGTTTGCGTACGATTTATTTCAATTTCCAAATAAAGATGTATCATATCACATTGACATCAGCATTTCAGAATCAGTGTTTAATCCTTTCAAAGTGTATAAGGTCTTATGGCTTCATGTAAACACCAAACAGGCATTTGCTCAATGTTTCATAATGCTTCCTGATTTAAATAATAATAAAAAAGGAGTTAGATGGAAATCCTACTGTTCTTATTGCAATCATTTTGCTCTTATTTCCCTTCTAGCTGCAAAATGAACTACAAAGATCACTACATCACTTTCAGCTAACATTTCTTCCGTCAACCGACGGTATTTTTAAGAGCAGAACGAGCTGCAGAAGGTCTCTTTCATCAGCCCACTGGGGAAGTCGGCTTTAAGAGAAGGAAGTAAAAATTTACTGGGCATGAGCAGATGTTCTGGTAATCATTTGCTGAAAATAGATTAATAACAGATGAGAGTTTAAATTTCAGTGGGTGAAGATCAGGAGGCTTCTTCTCAGCTTTTGGCTAAAATCAAGCATGTGTCCTTTGTTCGGGGGACTATATTCCACATTGGCAAGAGGAGGGACAGTCTGATCTAATTGGTTGTTTCCAGCTCAGGCTCATACAACTGCACAGATTGCAAATAAAAACAGTCAGATAATTTGAGAGAAAAGACCAGATGAAGAATATGACCTTTGTATATTTGAACAAAAATATATTGGAAAATTGTGCTGCTCACGAAGTGATATCAGATGCTGAGGAATCAGAGCATTAAAATTCTTTAAAAGCCTTAAAAATCAACCCATGATAGGAAATGGAGATCATTTTAATAAAGACTAATGCAAAGTAAATAAAGTAGAGAAAACAGGACCAGGTGATTCCTGTTGCATGGTAAACAAAAAGTGCCGAACAATAGACCACTGAATATTTAGCTTGGGATTACTAGAAATAAGTTTCCCACATCTTCCTATATTTTCCTAGCATCAAAATTATTCAAAGAAATTTAAAATAAATTTTAAATCATCAATCTTATATCATATCTCAAGGTATAAACCATCTGCCCAGTTTTCTACTGAGCCACCAAACTAAAAACCTATACCAGCTACTCCTCTGGTAAGGCTCCTTTCCCCAATTTCCAAGCCTTCACCCGCAGTAGTTCCAGTTGCCTGTTCGCATGCCCTGTTTGTCATTATTGTTATGATGACTGGCGAAGATCTCTTCAACTAATTTATTCCCAGAGTGCTTATTGTATTGCAAACATTACCAAAAGTCAGGACTTGTTTTTCTCATTGACCGAGTGGATTTATAACTGTCTACTGGAGACATCCACTAGTGTCATTTGGTTAGTCACCTGAAGTGATCAAGGTCCATGTGTTCATGAATACAATTTAATATTTGCTCTAATGAAATGCTATCAGTCTTCTGGTTTGAATACTCACAATCACCATTGCTTGTTCATTGTACTCTAGATGTATCACTAAAGCTAACATGTTGCGCTGGCTAACGTTATTTTTGTCTCAATATTCACTTGTTATTTAATACAGCCACCCTTAATCAAGTCCTTTTTCACTTACGGCTGATGTCCCACAGGATTTTATTCTTGGCTCTGCATTGTTCTATGTCTATATCATTGCACTCCCTGATTATATTACTGAAATGACTAAGTACTGCTATGCAGATGACAAACAGATTTGTTGCTCTCATGATCCTTTTTTCTTCAAATCTATATTCCGTATTGCAGACTTCTTCCAATAAGTTTCAAGAGTGGAAGTTTTTCAATAAGTTCGTTCTGAATTATTCAAGATATAAATATATCTTGGCTTCTTTTGTAGTTTGTGAAGTTGAATTGGGCCTTCCCATTTCAATAGGAAAACTCAGCATTAAAGTCAAAAGGAAGAAAAACTGGAAGGTCTGGTTTGCTTTTCAATCATCGCATGAATAAAAATATGTCAGATATTTCTTTCAGTCTATCATGTATTCCTAGTAGTTTCAATCAGGCTTTTAACAGCAGTCTATATTGCTTTTTTTTTTTTCAGTCTTATAGTGGAAATATATGGGCTGAATAAAATTCAAATTTCTCCAAGGAAAACTTTTTCTATCTTTCATGTCTTAACAGCAACATAGATGCACCAACTGCAAGTCTAAGATTTATTACAAACTTATCATCACCAAGGCCATAGCAGAAAAAAATGGATGATAACTATGAAAGCTCTCATACAGACGTATATAAAGAATGTACTCCTATTGATTATAATTTGACTAGTGAAAACTCAAAAATTGATTATTCTTTTTAAGTAAAAGCTGAATGTTCTGAAACATGGTTAGACAAGCATAATAGAGCAAGTAGAAAAGCGCTCTCTGCCTGAAAAGTTAGATTTGTCATTGAACTTAGGTTTCTGCAAAAGTCAGATATCAAATGAGAATTTTGTCGTTCTAAAGTTAGTGGTACATCCGTATTTCTTACTCACTTTAACAGTTCCAGTTGTCCAACCATAAGATGGAATATTTTTGAACCACTACAACATAATTACCGTGCTTTTATTAATCTCTTCCAGTTCATAGTTTCTCAATTCCAGCTCTTGCAGGGACAGGCCACAGATTGAGGAGATGCACCATGAAGGACTCTCCATTCCAACAGGAGTTTGCGAAGAAGTCTTGTTGCTCTAGAAGAGCACAGCATGTAAAAAGTGGACTACTGCGTGTTCAGCTCCAGGATTTCTCACAGTGCCGTTATTTTGTCAGGCCAATTTGACTCCCACCTTACCTCATTCAGACAACCCCTTTGTCAGGTGTCAGCCACCTCACCTCAAGATGAAATGTTCTCAACAGTTTATTTAGACACCTCTAATAAGAGCTAAAGCATATAATGCTAAAGGCATCACATTTGTCAGTCACAGTCAAGACAACGATAAGGGCAAAACAAATTATTATACTCTGGGAGAGCCTCAGACTTTTTTGTGGTCAGCATACTGCTCCTAGCAACTCTGCAAATACAAAATTCATTGCTGAATGCTACATTTTAGTAAATCTTTCTCATTATTTCTTCATCATGAGCTCACTCATCACTCATCCTTTATTAAAGGGATATAGTTATATATAACGTATATATTAAAGGAAATAAGTTATTTTAAAATACTTGTCCAAGGAAATATGTTTCTGCTGTGTATCTTAATAGGAAGAAAAGAGAAACACTGAAGGGTAGAAAGAAGCTGAACAGAAGTGATTAACGACTGTCTGAGGGAGTCCAAGGGAACTGCTAATCTTTCGTATGATTTAAAAAAAATATACATAGGAAATGGAAAGGCATAAATTATACAACCTGAAGCATGTACGCTTCCTTCTTAAAAAGACAAACTATCTGGGCCTTAAACATTTTATCCTTCTGTGATTATTAAATAGACAGAAAAACACCAGACACATACAGACACGTTTCTAATGGCTTCAGTTAATATAATCAGATATCTTTTGCTGACATTGGTAATACCAGCCACACTAGGAAAACAATGA